TGAGGTCCACATCTTGTGGGAACCTGTGAGAAGTTCTATGTATGGGTCCTGGTGATGTCCTGGGAACTTGGAATTGACAGATCTCGCCCACTTCTCCAGCCAGTGTGTTGCCACCCCCTATCTCCTATATCAGTTTGGTGGTCACGAATTTTTTTGGTGCTCTTTATCACGAAAGTTTATTTCTTCATCAATCTTGAAAGATAGTTTCAGCTTGAGTTGGAGATTGTTTTCCTTTGTAAGTGATTCATTGCTTTTTTCTACTTTTAATATTCTGTTCTTATGTTGGACATCTGGGATAGTGACCATAATATGTTGTGGCTATTTTTTTCTGAATGTAGCTCTTTGGGGTTCTATATTCTTCATTTATCTGTATGCTACATTATTTTCCTTATTTGGAAAGTTTTCTGCTATTATTTTAGTAAATAGAATTTTTATGCCATTTGTGCTATCTACTGATTGTTTGCTGATACTGATTAATCTTAGATTAGTCTTCTTTGGATCATCTAGGAGCAAAGAGAACATTGCCCATGTTGCACTGTCTGTAATTAACTGGTCACTGACAATAGCCCTGTCTACTAGTTTTGACACTGTCTTCTCACACTGGTCATTTCTGGTGCCCATGTTTTTGATAGCATTTTCAATCCCCTGAATTTCTATTTGGGACCTTTTTATGGACTCTAATTTTTTTCTATGCTGGTCATGCATGTTTTGCATTATTTTGTTTAGTTCTTCTAGGTTTTAATAATATGTTCTGTGGACTTGCTGATCGTTTTATTTGGCCCAATATTTTATTACTTATATCTTCTGTGAGGCTGGCAAGTACCTCATTGATCTATTTTGTTATCTTCCCTGATATCTCAAATAATTTGGGTCTATGGATTTTGTTGTTCTTAATGAGAATACGCCTTTGCTAAGTAGGCAGCAAATAACTCATAGAACGTGGCCTAGATAATGTCTCTTTACTTTGTAACAGTTTTAAACATATTCTTGTCTCTGATCTTCACCCAAAATTAAATGTCACCATATGTGCCAAGTTTCTGGTGGAACATCCTTTCCTTTTTCCTGTCTCTATGTCAGCACCATCCTTTGGCCAGAGGAGCAGAGTGCCTTGGTGTCTCCAAGGTGGCTGGTGGGAGGCAGATCCAGAAGCCAATGTCCAGGGCCGGGCAGGTGGAGGAAAGGGCTGCAGAATTCCTGTGCACGGAATGAAAATGAGGCTGAAATGACCAGATCATTGCTCTTTAACAATGAAAACTAATTACTGTCTTTTAAAAATGCTCCAGAGGGCTGGAGATATAGCTCAGTGGTAGAGTGCTTGCCTAGTGTGCATGGGGTCCTTGGTTCAATCCCTAGGACTGCAAAAACAAAAAAAAATTTTTTTTAAATGCTGTAGTAGTAGCTTCCCCAAAATATGGAATGTTTTTCATAATTATTTTTCTCACCACTGTGGGCCTGTGTGACCAATTCATTTCATGCCAGGAGTCCAGGAGTTCAATCTTACAGCTCAGGAGAGGCAGCTGGGAGTCCATTCAAGGCAGTGTTTTCAGCCCTAGTTGTGACCAGCTCTCCATCTCGCTGGCCCTGATGAGTCCTTACGGCTGCTCCTCCCCATGAAAGCTATCCTCACTTAGGGGTTCCCCTAAGCTATCCTCACTGATCCTCACTTAGGGGTCTCCTGCAAAGATGACCCTGTGTAAAGGATTTTGTTGTAAGTTCATTTAAGAGGTGATGTCAGAAAGCAGAGTGAAGAGTGTGAAGTGAGACAGAAAAAAAACAATAAAGGATGCATTAATGTAAAGGCTGTGCTTTTTGGAAGCTGGGGCTCAGTTGTTGGGGACCCTGTGAGAGGCTACATAGAAGAAAGTCTCAGGCCCACTGTAGGCCACAAAGCTGGAGTATGCATTCACCCTCCTTTGTCCCTTACTGGATGAGAATCACTCCTTAGGTGTCAATTTTGGCTTCTAGCCTATGACCACAGAATGCTAAATGATGCAGGCCACCTCCACCCCAAAGGAGACCTAACTACCTTGACTTCCATGTGCACCATCAGCTGTGGAAGGGCAGTCATTCTCAGCGCTTCTGAGGATAACTCAAGATCACAGTCCCCAAACTATGCATTTGTCTGCTTTTGTGGTTCTGCACAAGCATATGCAAGGCATTTGCCTGGTATTCTGGGAATTCATCATTCTCAGGGCAAAGCAAGCAATTTTGTTTGGAGAACACTTACTCAGGAACTGAAATGATGGTATCTACAGTGATAGTGCACCTAAAACCTGCAGGTTTATCTGGAAACCTCTATTCCCAGTCTCTAATGGAGATACACCCCTTATCACTCCAAGATAATGCTCCAGCCCAGGTTCTGCTGCCCTTTAATCTTAATAAGCTAGGCACAGTGGTGCACACCTGTAATCCCAGCCAACAGGAGGCTGAAGCAGGAGGATCGCAATTTTAAGCCAGCCTGTGCAACATAGGCTGTATCTCAAAATAAAAATCAAATGAAAGGTCTGGAGATGCAGCTTAGTGGTAGAGTGCTTGCCTAGCAATGGTGAAGCCTTAGGTTCAATCCACAGTGGTGCAAAACAAACAAAACCAAACTTTTAAATTTGCTATGGTTGGGGTGGGTATTTGGCTCAGTGGTTCTGCCTCCTGCCTCGAAAGCGCAAGGTCCCGAGTTTGATCCAGTACCTCCCCCACCAAAAAAAAAATTTACTATGGTTGTTCTTAGACCTAGAAAAACTGGTAAGAAAAAACCTGAAATACACTGGTTGCTAGTGGATTTAAATCTTTTTAGTCAAAATGAAAACTTATTTTCTGACTTAACATCCTTATAATAACCACAGGGATAAATAAGCAAGGCTTTGTCTACAGGGCCAAGAGCAACACACAGAAGCATCTCCTTGCATCACAGGGGAGATTTAAAACTGGGCACAGTTGGGAGTACTTACAATGTATCGGCATACAGTACACCACACATCAATATAGTGCTGCAGTCCTGTAATCTGATGCCCTACACCCACACTTGAACTTACCAGGCTACATCACTGGAGTGGGCCTTCTGGAACTCACATAAAGCAAGCACGACCCTTTCACTAAGGTGGCTCTGATCCCCAGAATACAACCACTGATGCTCCAATTGGGCGTCAGGTGTGTTCATGCTGGCGCCTTAACTAGACCATGTGTTGGCGGGCAGGGCTGGGACTCTCAACAGGCTTGCCCTCCTAGTGAGGCCCAGCCCCGAACACGCACGGGTCTCCTCAGAAGCTGTGTTAGCTGTCCAGGCCATGGCAGTCAGTATGGCAGACTCATTTTCAGGCATCAGATTTTGCTTGCCCCCATGTCTTTTTCATGGTCTTCTCATTTCTAAAGATGCCTGAGCTGGGCGTGGTGGTACACTCCCAGATAAAATTTCAGTAGTTTTGAGGCATGAGAATTCAAAGGAAAAAATCCTTTCAGTACTTCCTTAGACACCTTGGATTACAAAGAGAACTACACTGTTTAACCATGGCCTTGTTTTCCACGGATCTATTGGGCTCCATTTAAATGGTCTGCACTGAGTTCCTTGGAATGGCTGGAGCTGTACTATAATTAGGCAAGACTGATGTAATGCACGAGTAATTTAAGACAAAACAAACCAGCCTGAAACTCACCTTTTCACTCTCCAAAAGCCTGACCAAATCTCAGCGAGGGTTTAAATATGGAGAACCTGGTGAGTATGGTAACGACTCAAAATCAGACAACAGAAAAGCAGAAAAATTGCCAATTCATCAGAAATGCCTTTGTTCTTCAGCATCAAGTTTCACCCTGGCCTTCTGGCTTCAGCTTAACTGGCTCCTCAAAAGGCAGTCTTGAAGGTATTAATACCACCTATGAGAAAAATGGAAGCTATAAGAGAAAGGCTACGAAAAAAAAAAACCTGATGAGAGTGGACTTGGGCTTGCTCTGAGTCAAAGGTCAGGTTAAAGTATCTGTCAGGAATAATACTTAAGAGGATGCTCCCCCCCCCCACCCCCAAGCTGAGGATCTTCAAGATGATGATACTACAGAAAGACCTTGGTCCTCCAGGGCTTAAGCCCAGGTCAAAGCCACAGGGAGGGGTATGCTGGTGTGTGATTGAGCACCCTAGTTCTTCAGAAGACAGGCTACGGGATCTGCTCATGTCAGGAATGTGCTCATTCACACCACCTCTTAACAGTAAGAGGCAGGCACCTTTTACTGGACCAAAAGCTTAAAAAAAAAAAAAAAAGACACTCTTCCCTAAAGTATTTGCATGGAAGAGCATTTAAAAAGACACTTTCCTAGACAAGGGCTGGGTTAGCAGTTGGCAAGACTTGATCATAAGCAGCAGAAGTTAAGTTTTGCTTTTGCTATGGTTTTATGTCCCCACATACGCACCTGTTTTCTAGAAAAACATTTGCCACCTTCACCCCTACTTCATAAAATTCCTAGAGGAAGGAAAGTTAGTTTTCAGCAGACCTCAAGAACTAAGATGTGTCTCTAGAACCACAGAATAACAGACAACTGTGCCAGATCCTGTTCCCAGATGGACTCCACTTACTACCAGAACTCAAATGAGGAACACCATGAACCCAAGCATCTGCCTTTACATAGCAAAGTAGGTGGAGCTGTGAGAGTTCTACCAATCAGAAGATGGCCTCCAAGTGCAGACAGGGGGCTCTTGACAATGTGAGTCTTTACTGACCAGCCACAGTAAAGTTGATTATAGTCTAAATAAGGGCAAGTTTTTTAAAGAGGAAATTTGATAAATACTACTTATCTGTATACTTTTAATACAAGGGACTGAAATTTCTGATTATGTAGAGATAAGAAAAAGGCTGTGTGTGTGTTTAGAAATCATTAAAGCCACCTGCTTTGGAAAATGTATGTGCACTAGAAAGTGTTTGAGGAAGCAAAGATTCTTTATAATACAAGATATTCTGAGAGGGGCTTAGGTAACTTCAAGGGAAACAAAACTCAAGAATGAAGAATACTGTAGTACCAAATTATGGCCAAAAATACTGTATTTTTAACCAGCAAGATCATTAGGGCATTATTATACAACATAAGGTGTGTTTTTTTGCAAAACTAGTTCCCATCCCCAAACAATAGACAATACATGCATTTGAATGACATTTTAAGAACAGTAAATATGATTCATTTAAATACTGCAAGTTAAAAATGTTTTCTGACAAAACTCCCTAAATACATAGGCCTAGTCAGGGTTTCCAACATGATGATGGCTGAGGAATCCAGCAGGAAGCTGCATTTAGAGAATTCTTCAAGGAAAAGAAATCCACTGAAAATGAGTTTCAATCAATGTAACCTGGACAAAGTTACACAGTAATTTTCCATCTTTTTTTCTAATCCTAAAAGTATTCTACTGAAGAATACTTTCCTCCCTGTTATTCTTCCCTAAAAAAAAGCTTCTATGAAAGTCAAAATTTCTTTACCCAAGTAAGATCCAAATTTACCCAATAGCTATTTTCATAATATGTAAATACCATGTATTGTTGGGTTGGAATTGTGGGGAAATGGAGGCCATGTGGTAGATGAGGGCAAGAAAGAAATTAATATCTGAGCACCTACTGTGTACGAGGTGTGTGTGCATACTTTAACAAGATTCTAGAGGCAAGGATGTTACTGAAAGGGCAGTGGCAGTTGGAAATAGAGCAGGAAATGGTTTATTTTCTTAAGAAAACAAATGACAAGTTTAGACTGTACTAAGTATCTACTAACCAGCAGGTGTCTGGCTCCAAAAATCTCTACCTAAGCCATTTCTTTTCCTGATTTGATGGAACCAAAATGAAATCCCAAAGACACGGGTACCAGGACAGATCTATTAGTGCTACATATGCTGGAAATATGTAGAGAGAGATAAACACAAAATTACTAGTTTCAATTTTTGTGTGTATTTCTAACCAAAGAATATCTTTGGGAGAAAATATGAATGCATATACCAAGCACATCTTATTTTATCATTTGAGATGTTAATGACCAATTAAGTGGTTTTAAACCCTTTGTTTTTTTTTGGTACCGGGGATCGACTCTTAAACCCTTAGTTTTAAGAAGCGCAGCAATATACAATATTTGGGTACACTTTATTTTCATATGGGTTAACATTCTGCTATATTTCATTTCATTAATTCTTTTTGAGAAACTGAAAACAAAGGGAAATTGAGGGTAATCTGAAGGTAATCCAAGGGGAATTTCCAACCAATATGTGATTCTTGCAATATCTCATTATGCAGCCCTTTCTTCCCATTATTTTTAACTTTTTTTTGCAAATAATGAAGTTATTCTGACCCAAATCCAGCATAGCTTTTTACCAATTCCTAACTTAAGACAACTAAAATTTACAATCATATGGCAGTATAGATTTTTAAATTACAGTTCATACACTTTGACAATCAAGATAGTCTGAAGTACAAAAAGTAAATTGCCCTTTAGCTGAATTTCCTTTTTAAATATAATCTACCAAAAAAAAGTTTCAGATGTTTTTTGAATAACTTTTGTAAATGACATCTGTTAGTAAACAACATATGAAGATTCCTAAATTTTGTTTCCAGTCTACTTATGATATTGAACAGAGCTCTTTATATGTCATTATTAAGAAAGAAAAAAATAGAACTCAAAAACCAAAATCCCCCAAAACAAAACCCCACAAGTTCGAGGGGACTTACTGACTTTTGAATGGGCGTGTTATTTCCCTTTGTTTCAGATATGAGGCACAAACTTCTGAATTTAAGCTCTGTAAGGCATATAGTAGAAACCTCCAATTTACAAATAAGGAATTCTCTATGGGTTGGAACTGCCCCATCACACAAAAAAAGAGGGAAAAATCATCTGTAAACTGGTACACTGAGGTGTGTTCAGTGAGTCATGAAATGGCTGCTTGCCTTGGCATACTGAAGGAAGGTTCCTGTGTTTTGAGTAAGACATGTGCATCACCATAAAATTCGCCACAAGCCTCCATTACCTAGAACATCAACAAGAGTCCAGCAGCACACGCTTAGAACGCTTGCAATCACAATAGAAGAGAAAGCATGAGTAAACTTTGTTTTTATACAAAACTGAAAAGAATCCCTTCCCACCCCTCGCCCTTTCAATAAAACCCCAAAGAAACAACAAAAAATCCTTTAGCTTCAATTGACTAATGTGGATACAATTAGGTTTCTATGCATCGCTGCAGCTAGGGTGATCAATTTTTTCCTTTCTCAAAAGAAGGGATCCTGTCATGCACCCCAGGATGAGCAGTGAAGCCACAAACCTCAATTCTGCATAGCAAATTCCATCCCAATTTCATAAAGACAAATATAACAATCTTTCCCTGTTTTGCTCAGCTCCTATGAGCTTTGAGATCAGGTTTAATCAACTACATCTACTATAGCTCTATTAAATAGAATATCTTGATTCCCTAAAACTGTAACACTTATGATCTTGTGATGAGGTTTTCTCTATACACACTGTAGGCCATCAAATGTTGTTTACTTTTTTTCTTTTCTTTTTTTTTGTTTTTTGTTTTTTTGTCTTTGTTTTTGCTGCACCAAATTTAAGATTGCCCTTTCAGGCAAGCAGTGGTCTCTAGCTGTTAAAACATCTCCTTAATGGATCACAATAGCTTCTAAAACTGCCTTTCTAATAAAGGCCATCAGAGAGGTAATACTAAACTGTGCATTTGCCAAATAAGAATATGAATTGTATAAAAGCTCATATTCCAATCCTAGATCAAATGGCAAAAGTTCTACAAAGTTGGTTTCCATGTTTGTATAAAAGGTCCAACTGATTTTATGTATTTTGCTATGAAATTACCTTTGGGTCTTATAATCAGTATACCTCTACTCAGGAATGTGCAAATGATTTTATACAGCACGATGCTAGTACCGCTCTGTATGATAGTAAGGTTTTTTTTCTTCTTTTCTAAATGGAAAACAATATCCCTAGTCAGAAATAAACTGACAAATTTACATTCTCCTCTCTTAAAAAAGTAAATAAAATAACATTATTCAAAATGTGAATTAGCTATAAGACATACAATACAATTACATAGATACATATCAATACAGCACATTCAATCTGCCCCAAAATTAATGATTACAAAGCCAGTATGGATGCTGCAATATCAAGAGATGTATGTACAATGATTAAGAGCATTCGTAATTGCACTACACCTACAGGCGGAATGTTTGTTAATTAAATTACAGGCGCTTTTCTGAGCAAGGAAAAAAAGAGTAACCTGTGGGTTTTGAGACTGGGAGAGTGAAGAATAAGAATATTTCATTACTACTGAGTAACTTTGGTACTCATCTAATAAATTGTTAATTTTCCCTCTCCCCTTCGTTACTCAAAAAAAATGATTAATATAGAAGTTCAGACTAGTGCCAAGTAGTATCAAGAACAGCATCATGGGCTAATTCTAGCTTCCCAGCAGCTTTGTAGCAATCATGATTTATTTTCTTAAATCACATTTCAACTTAGACTGCTTGACAGAAGCTTATGGATACATGTGCTGTATTTCTTGCATTTGCTGAAAAATTGCACATATAGAATTCCAAACATCTCTCCTAGTAGGTTCAGTTACATAAATACATGTTCAACGGAACACTGAGAGGGTATTTTTGAATTAAATACACAAATTTTCTTCATGTTCAACTTAACCAGTCACCATCTCAAGAAGACCCTGAATATGGTAAACTAGCAGTCACTTTTTTTTTTTCCTCAAATTAAAGGTGTCAGGATAATACTATCAACTGATGTTCTTGGCAAACTTACTTGAATTTAAAGAACATAAAGAGTAAGTAAAACTGGCTTCAAACAAAGAAACATAAGCAGATTTCATGATAAAGCACAAAGGATACTTTTCTACACTGCTGATTTGGACAATCAATGTGGGACATGGACAATAAACAATGTAATCTTAAGGGCAAAGAAAAGAATGGACTGTGAGAGTCAAATTTACAGTTACCAACTGTTTGGCAATTGGTATTTCAGGTTCATTCTCAGCCAGTCATCTTAGAGTTCACAGTCTTACTTGCTTACATTTGAAGATGCTGGCTTTAATTAAGCTCTTTTTAATTCATTTTATTTGACGGCCAGCTTTGGCAGCACATACCCATAATAAAAATCACTTTAAAATTGTGGCCCAAACACAAAGGAAAAAAAGAGGAAAGGAAAAGTTGGAGCTAAATAAACAGTTAAGAAAAACCTCTGAAAAGAAGAACCTGGGTAGCAGCCATTGGGGGAATGTAGTGTGTGTTGGCATATTTTTTGGCATCTGCAATTAACAGTTAAAGAAGATGAGGAGAGGAAAAAAAGAAAAGCAAGAAAGGAAGGAAGGACAATGGCACATGGATTTCAAAAGAAAGGACTCCCAGTGTGTATGTCTGCCCAGCCCTCTGACTTCTGAGCATTTTTTTGGGCAATTAAAATGCAGCTGAAGGTCAAAACCCAAAAGAAATGATGCTTAACTGTTCAACGGGCATCCACTATCCCAGTCCAAAGTGAGACAATAATATAGAAACACTACATATGTATGGAGCACAATACAGAACCATAGTAGTAATACATATAATCCTTCAGCAAATACTAAAAATTGTTAGATTAAGCTGATGTAGGATGGCTTAAATCGAATGACAATGTCCTGATTATCATTCCAGAGAAAAATTTGACAAAGAATGGAGCCAGAATAAAGGCTGTTGTGTGTTGTAACCTGGGGGGAAAATTCAGGGAGAAGATATGGATTATGAAAAAGGAAAATCAGCTTCATTTTGCTCAATAGAAAAGGGGGGGAGGGGGAGAGAGGGAGAGAGGGAGAGAGGCAGAGAGGGAAGAGGAGAGGGAGGAGAGGGGAGACTGACTCTTTGTGAGTGCATAACTGAAAATTTAAAATAGATTGAGTCACAAGGTTTTGCCTAAAAAAAAAATAGAGAGGAAATGTGCTGGGACTGTACTTCAGCATCCTGTTTTTCCTCTGAAGAGTTTAAATAAAATCATAATATTTACTACAAACTCTGTGGATATGCGCACAGAGTCCAGGACGGCAATAAATTAGTATTATGCAAATTGTTTTCCACAGAAATACAGTCCCTCTTGTATATCTTCAATAGCCCACCAGGGAAGGGAAGGGAGGCACAATTAGACCAGATTGTACTCCTTCAGGTTCAACTGGAGGATGGTGTCCTTGACAGCAGCAAAGACAAAGCGGATGTTCTCGGTGTCTGTGGCGCACGTGAAGTGGGAGTAGATAATTTTGTCACTGTCTGGGTTCAGGTCCACGAACATCTTCAGGATGAATTCTCGAGCTGCCTGGGCATCTCTCTGGGGTCCTGTTTGCCAAGCAAAAAAAAAAAAAAAAGGAGCTTGTTAGATGATCATTAATGCATTTGTTCATCATTCATTCAATAAATATTTATTTTGTCATTGCTCATGGAGACTAAACTGCATTGCAGATTGATATGATCATGTTTTCTAACACTACTGGTGTAATTTCTTTTGTCATTTTAGCTTTCCATTCAGTTCACCCATCCACCCACCAATAAAATAGGGATAGGTGCAAACAGAGAGACAATTTGAAGTCATGCTAAGTTTCTTTATTCCATTTCTTTGGTTGATGGGGAGGCACTGTAGGCTGTTTAGTAGGGGAGTGACAGCTCACTTCTGTTCCACTGAGTAAAGTATTCCAGCTCCATAATAAGTGTACAGGGCCAGGGATTTAGCCCACTGGCAATGCGCCTGCCTTGCAAGTGCAGGGTCCTGAGTTCGATCCCCAATACATCACCTCCCCCTGCCACCCCGCAAAAAAAGTGTGCATACAGACATAGCCGCCTCAGGCTATCTTATCAATCTGGCTCCAAAGACCCCCTCTTATGGATCATTTTACATTCTACAGATTAAAGTCTCAGAATCCGGGCCGGGGATTTGGCTCAGTGGTTTCGCCGCCTGCTGCGCAAGCACAAGGACCCAAGTTTGATCCCCGGTACCAAAAAAAAAAAAAAAATTAGGAAGATTTATTGGGGATTTGGCTCAGTGGTTTCGCTGCCTGCTGCGCAAGTGGAAGGATCTGAGTTCGATCCCCAGCACCAAAAAACCCCCCAAAAAACTCAGAATCCAACATCAGGACCTTAAGGTCAGGTCCACTGTCCTCCGCGGTCTTGCTTTGTTGACTTCTGGTGTTTCTGAGCACCCTACATTAAACATTCAGTTCACTATGTGTGATTATGAAAAGACTTGGTTTACATTTTTTCACATTTATTTGGAGTCTTTTATGTACTAAGCATTGCCCTAGATGTTTTGGTATAAGAACTGTGATATATTTATCAGGATAAATTAGAAGCATATTAATTTCGCAGTGAACTCTTAGATATGACACCAAAGCAGCAGCAGCAAAAGAAAAGCATCAATAAATTGGACTAAAAGAATTCTTACAACTCAACAAAAAGGCAAACAGCTGTATTAAAAAGTGGGTAAAAGGGCTGAGGCTATAGGTCAGCAACAGATAACAGAACACTTGCCTAAGCATGATCAAGGCCTGGGTTTGAGCCTCAGTACAACCAATACATGAATGAATGAATAAATGAATGAGCAAAGAAGTAAGCAGGGAATATCTGAATACACATTTCTTCAAAAAGAAGATATATAAATGACCAATAAGCATATGAAAAAATGCTTAACTCTGTTACTCATTTAGGGAAATGTCAACTAAAATCATAAGATATACCTTCTCCTCCTAGAATGGCTGTAAGTTTTTTAAAGTAGTAAATAACTATTGGCAAGGAAGAGAAGTTTGTACCCTCATGAACTGGTGGTAGGCATGTACAATGGTGCAGCCATTGAAAAAAGTTTGTAGGAAACTTCCTTAAAGATTTAAAGAAACAATTCCCACATGGCCCAGCAATTCTACTCCTAAGTCTACATCCAAAAGATTCAAGAGCAGGGGCTCCCACAGGTCAGTGTTACTGCAGCATCAGTCACAAGAGCTAGGAGGTGGACAAAACCCATCAGCTGGTGAGCAGATAGGCCAAAGCTGGCGTGGCATTCAATTAGACAGCCATAAGTGAAATGAGGTTCTAACAGATGCTACAAGGTGTATGAACCTTGAAAACATATAAGTAAAATAAACCAGATGTGAGAAATACTGTATAATTCCTCTTAAAAGAGGTACCTAGGCAGAATCAGAGAAAGTAGAATAGGGATTACCAGGTGGAAAGGGGAGAAAAATGGGGTGGTTACTGCGTAGCTGGGGTGATGAAAAAAAAAATTGGAAATCCTGGTGATGGCTGCACATTACTATAAGTGGAATTAATGCCATGCAATTGCACTCAAAAAGGTTAAGATGCAAAGTTGGGATACATTTAAGTTTGAGAACTTTACAGAGAGCCAGACCACCACTTCTAACTAAAATACATTCTGATTTTTAGACTGCCAACTTGAAAATTTTCAAATTGACCTTAGTACTAATTGGAGCTCACTCCTATGAACTTATATCCAACACTGCTAGAAGTTAGGAGTTAATAAAAGTACTGTTCATATTTTTGAGTTAGGTGCCGCGAACTGAAATTTTTGACAGCAACTGAGAAAGCTGGAATCATATTAAATAAAAGCACACCAATTAAAACATTTTACGTAATTATTAAATTTTATTTAATGGGAAGGAGATCAAGAGATGGAAGGGAGAGGGGAACATAAAAAGAATTAACATGTAGAGCCAAAGATTTAGCTCAGTGGTGCCATGCCTGCCTTGCAAGCGCAAGGTCCTGCGTTTGATCCCCAGTACCAAAAGAAAAATGAATTAAGATGTGTTATGTATATGTACTAACTCCCCATGATGAATATAATCACTATATACTGCACACCTATACTAATAAAAATTTAAAAATATGTAAATATTTAACATCCTACATTTCTCAATTACTATGGTTAACTTCCTAGTTCCACAGCAGTACTAAAAATATTTAAAACCAGAGACTAATAAGATTGTCACAGCAGAAGCCTGTCATTTTCATAAAATCATAATATTATTTCTGGCCTGTGATTGAGCTGGATGATTTTTTACTTAGTATATTGGGAAGGAAGGGACCGCAACTTTTTTTCTTCTTTATTTACTCAAGGAATATAAAAACCAGATTCAAGTTCACTGAAGTACACTTGGAGTATATTATGTTTGTAAGCATAAATTATTTGAATAAATGTAAACTACAAAAAAAGCATTCTATTCATCATAGTAGGAACAGAATTCCAGTCTCTATGAACATTTGCAATTCAAGTCCATGTAGAATGGTAATTTCCCTTCCCGAAAAGAACTGCAGAAATAGTATTCATTATGATTAAGACCTTGTAAGTGCAGAAATGTGGAAGTGTGAATTTATAATACTATAAACATGCTTATTACCACTACTGAGTGGGCCTAGATTTTTTTGGCCTTAGTTCATCTTACAAGGGCTTTTGAGCTTCATGAAATGACAGCTGCGTTTGCTTTGAGAATAGTAAAATCAGTGTCTTTTCTTCTTCTGTGCCACATTTCCTATGGGCGTTATGTGGGCACTGTGGGAGGTTAACAGTAAAAACATCTTTGGATATCAAAGCACTCACAACAGGCACATATTGGAAGGGAAATGCTCATACTTGATAGGGAATCTGGGGAAATTATGAGATTAAGATTTTTAAAGAGATGAGAAAAATGCTGCAGAGAGAAACAAACAGTTCTGCAAACACTCAACAAAGAAGAGTGGTTTTTTTGCAGAACAGTCACCTGCCCCGTGGCGTGGCTATGGCTGTTATGGGTGGAGTCTGGGGTTGCGTTTCAAGATTTGTAGGTGGGCAGTGTGATCTGTCCTTATGCAAGCATGTCAGGAAAATGACCTGGCTCTGGGGACGCTGAGGGGGCTGTGTAGCAGTTCATTTTCCATCCACTGATTCTCACCTAACTCTGACAAAAATTAAGAAGAGTCTCCTTCCAGGTCTGGAAGGCAATTACATCTGCCTGGGTCTGCTTCACACTCATGTTACTCAGGAAGGTTTTGTGTGGAAAAGAAATAGCTTGTAACAGGGGACAGCAAGGAAACTAAACATTAAGTTACTTCCATCCACAGTCTGTGTAGGCACTTATTACTTGTCTCCAGCTAATAGCAAAATAAAAAGTTTTAAAGAGAAAATGCTATTTAGGTCAGAGTGTTGTTTTTAAAAGCAAAGCAAAGCACAGAAGAAAGTGTACTTGGAGAGAAAATGTAGATATACTGCTAACAAAAGAGGGGCACTATTTCTACAACATGGCAACATCCCCAAATGCATGCATTTTAGTTCACCAGCTTTCAAATCCTTCTATGTATCTGAGATGGGAACTTGAGTGCATTAAACAAGTAATACTCGCCTTCCAGGAGCCAGCACCATGTCAAATGCGTGTGGGACAAAAGGATGACTACACCTCCGTCCCTGATGCTTTTGTGTCTTCATGGAAAGGTATAAGCCAAGGTTACTCTTAGTTTATAAATAATAATTTCCCAGGAGCTTGTAGAAGTACAAAAATACTGTTGAACTAATAATACCCATTATGGATATTATCTGCTGAAAAGGTAATTTTAAATATAGTTTATTATCTTGCTGCAACACACATTCTGTAATAAGGACTTCTGGGTTTGGCTCTTACCCATACCATGTGCTGTGCTAAGTGATTTCCATATGATCCTATTCAATCATTTTTACTCAGGAAGAAACAGAGGACCAATTTAATAAATTTATCCAGAGCAATATGACCACTGAGAAACACCACTGGAACTCTGAGACTTTCAAAGTGCATGCCTTTAATTACTGTCTGAACCAGGGTTGGCTAACTTGCTTTGTAAAGAGCCAAAGAGTAAATATTTTACGTTTTGCAGATGACTGACTCTGTCACCCTCACTTCTGCTGTTATAGCATAAAAGCAGCCACAGCAATGAGTGTGGCTGTATAAAACAAAACAAAACGAAACACAAAAACCGGCAGCAGGCATAGTTTGGCCCTCCTAATCTATACTGAAACTTTTATAGGGCAATGGCTGTGTCTCACTTGTTTTAGGGTAGGTGGATGTGGATGCACTTAATTAAAAAGTACTTCTAAGAGTAGCTGGGTGTCCAGTTTACGAATTTCATAGCCTACTTGGGAAAGGCCTCTTTTTTTAAGGATTAAGAAAGTAATTCAAGGCCATAGGAGTAATGAAGTGGGTATAGCAGATTCTAAGTGCTGGGTGAAGAGCTTAAAGGATAGCTACTATTGTAAGGATCATGGGCTTTCACTGGGCCATGAAGTCTCCCAAAAGTAAACGTTTCCTAAATATTCATTATTCGTCAGGCATTATGATAACTATTTTAATATATATATGTGTATACATATGTGTGTGTATATATACACACACACCCCCACACACATGTATATCTGTTACATTCTATAAAACAATCCCACGGGTTTTGTCCAAAGGCCCAGAAAATCAAATGACTTTGACTATAGCTCTACAAATACAGCAAGTATCAGATTTGAATCTGACTTAGAGATGAGCTCTTGACCACAAAACTGTTCTCTTCCCAGACAGAGGCAGGGGTGGGTTCCAACAAAATGAAAGGGAGGGAGAGAGGAAACTATAATGTCAGATACACAATTGGTCAAAAGTACTGGATTATTCTTTCCTCTGATCCGATTATTTCAAAACATATGAGAAATTCTTTTTCTGTAACTTTCAGTATTAGGACATAAAACATTTTGTGTCATTACAAGACAGAGCAAACAGTAATTTGTACTTCAACAGTCACAAACACAGGCTCTGCAGCCACAGGGCACTGGCAAAGCCCATCCTCAGCTACTGATACTTACCGTCATATTCTGGGAAGTAGTCAACTAGGTGGGAATACATAATTTTCTCCTCTAGAAGATCCTTCTTGTTTAAGAACAGAATGACTGAGGAGTTCTGGAACCAGGGATATGTGATAATCGTTCTAAAGAGTGCTTTGCTTTCCTCCATTCGGTTCTGGGGAAAAAAAGTCAGGAAAAAAAGGAATGAATTGCATGATTACTCAATCTATGAATTATGTTTATTTCAGTAAGTGTAACCCATCTTCTGGATGCTTCCAATTTTTATAGCTTTGAGTTGGGCTTATAATGACTTATATGCAAATGATTCATGACACACACTAGCTGTTTTAACTGACAAACACAAGAGAATAATAAATATCTGCTGAACTAACTTTTCACGATGAAAGAGAAAATAAAGCCTAGACAATGACGTTGTATCTGATATACTGTCATAAATGTCTACCAAAAATTATTTATTCATGACCAAATACTCAAGATCTGAATTAAGAACTAAATATCAGACTTACTTTGCATTTCCAAAAATATATTTATTTGGAACCTATAATTAACTGTTTTAAACATTAAAGGCAAAATACTTAATTCTCTGCCCAAAGCACATCAATATTTCTAGAGTTATTACTACTAGAAAAAAATATATGTGCCTTGATAAGCAAACACATGTTCATCAGTCCACATACTCTCTTTAGGTTTCACTATAATGTTCATACATAATTATGAAGATACATGTAATTACCTGGAGACACAAGGCTAATAGGCCTTACCTTCAACATTGATGTGGAAGTGTTCTTAGCTGAGACTATACTTTCAAACCTACTTAGTAAGAGAAATCCTAATTGAGTTCTCAAGGAAATGAGTCAGTTTGCTCATATACATCAAGATGCTAATTGAGGCTACTCCTGAGAAAAAACACTCTTCACAGTTATCATCAACAAAAAGCCCGAGTGCCTCACACTTCCTTCTCTCCTTACAAACTGCTTCTCTCACAGACATAACTCTCCTTTCTAAATAACTCCTACTCCTGGGCACAGGTAAAGGCTGCAGACATGGGGAGTTCCTCTTTCTTTGAGGATGTAAGAGCAACAATGTATAGGCACACCGTCCCGGTCCTTCCTTTGTTCATGTTATGCCTGAGTTTTCCCAGCAATGGAAAAGCCTTCCTGGGATTGAGCCCACTTCCGCTGCTAAGGAAGTGCGGTTTAAACTACAGCATCAAGTCTTCTCCCGCATGAGCTGGTTCAGAGCGGCACTGAGACCCAGGTCTCTGTCCTGGGGAGGTTTCCTCCCCTGGTTTATGGTTATTAGTTTAGCCAAGCACCTGAACTGAGCCAGTCAGCCCTAGGAGTTTTGCTGAGAACTCTGGAGCAGGAAATCTTGCTTTCATAGAGAATGCTGAAGAACAATGACCATCTCAGGAACTTCTCAAGGCCACCTTTTCAGGGAACAGAAGAGGCCAGTCCTACTCACCCTGTTCTAACTGCTTGCTTTGGTCCTGCCTTTGGATTTTTCAGTATCATCAGTCAGTAAGTACCTCTTATATTTTTAGGCTGGTCTATTTTTTAAGCTAGTTTGCACTGTTTTTCTGGTTATTAATATGGAAAATACTTCCAGTTGATAGAACTGGATACACGCCCTTTCAACTTGTAAAAGGAAGGAATGAAGGATGTCTGCAGGATGACCATTGAACCTGGGGGCTCAACCTTCTGCTCAAAGTGTTCCTACTGTAAGATGCACTCCGACCGTCGGGAGTACCCGGCAGTGCCCACAAAAGCCTGGTTAGTACACTCTGTGTGCTCTTCTGTCGCAGGAAACGTCCAAGAAATTCTCCACCACATACAACTTTCTGAATCCTGAGTACATCTTGCTCTTTTTCTTTTTTTGTAAAATGTGCTGATTAAAATCAAATTGAAAGAGCACATTTTTCAAAAGCAGATCTTTACCAAAATCAGGTAAAGTTGCTCCTCATCAATTTATTCAACCTTTAGTTTTGTGCCTACAATTGCTTAATTAAATGCTGGTGAAATATGTGGGCTGTGAAAAATTACTTCATGGCTCAAGGGACAGAGTTCATACATTTTTATGTAAGTGACATGTCCAGCCCTCAAACACATCTTTACTATCTACATGCCTTTTATTGGTTATCACAGTTGATTATAAAATTTTAAACCTTGAAATGATATTCTCTGAGGAATGATCCCTTGTAGCCTTACATTTTATTACAGGTTAAAATTTTAGGACTAAAGAAAAACCCTCTTTTAAGTGGGTTAGATAGTAACATTCCTAAGGGGAGAGGTAACACTTTCTTTTCTTACTTATTGCTAGAGAGATTCTAAAAAGCCATATAATGGATGGTCTTTGAAGAAGGTGGGTATGTACACCTACAAGGTGGGTACATACACCTTGGTGTCCACAGTGAGTCTCCATCAGAAAGACATAATTACACTTAGCATTCTCTGACTGGGGATATGGGATCTGAAGGAAATAAGGGGTCCTCACTGGCCTTATTCTGGTTGGAATCCGTCCAAGGTGGCTCCACAGGGTGGGCAGAGGGAGGGAAAGGGGTCCTGACTTTGAATCAACATAGAACTGTCATTAATTAAAAGTTTCAAGACTGGGCTGGAGTCTCCAGGCTTAAACGGAGTCTGCCAGAAGGGAACTTTGGACCAGTGTGTAGGACAGTGGCTAGGAGTCTCTCTCCTGAGCCCAGAGCCATGTACTAAAGACAACCTGCCTAGAAGCTGTCACTCTTGTCCAGAGCCACTTTGAAGACAGGCTGCTCACCGAGATATCTCACAAAGCTTTGGCTGAGTGTGCAGTTTGGGGCTGCTCTAAGATATCTCCCTGTTCACAATGTGCTGGGTGGACTGGGGTTTGAGGAGACTGGGGCATAAACCTTCAGGGGGAAGCTAGAGAGCAAAGGTCAGCTGCTAGGCAGCATCAGCATCACCAGGCTTTCCACTGGCCCCACCGAATGGAGCCTCTGAGGATCTCCTGGGTATTTGATGCTGATGCCACTGAGCTTTGTGAAGCCACCTGGGGATCTTGTCAAAACAAAGATTCCTATAGCACTGAGCAGACTGGGAGTCTGCATTTCTCCAAGGTGAAAGGTATAGAGCCTCAGCAAGAAAAAGGATGGTGTCACTCTACCCTATTTTCATAATAAAAACAGCAAGTAGATATATCCACTGAGTCCCCCAATAAAATTCTAATCATGCCAGCTTTGTTCTTTCTCAGTTTTTCATTTTATGATTCTTACTTTATCCTATGTGACTGGTGGTGTACTCTGCAGTGAAAATTCCTTATGCTCCCTTACCCCACTATGAGAAAATATTTACAAACTGATATTCTCTGTATCAAAGCCCTGGGCTAAATCCTAAATGAACTAAAAGATTTTCACAATGTTTCACAGGGTAGTGGGAGGTACACAGTATGAGGCATAATCTGCTCAAACAATCCCTGAAATCTATGTGGGAACAGTGTTTCAGGAGACTCGGTGGCACTTGCTTTTTAGTAATTTGCCAAGGCATGAGGTTTTGAGAAGGAAAACAAAAGAGAAATGTACAAGACAGGTGTGTGTCAAATGATAAAAAACAAACCAACCCCCCACAGGGAGTTTTTGTTCGCTCTAAATATACTGAGGAATGGTATCCATCTCACACCTTCCTTTTCATAGGGTTTTAATAGCTGGGAAATAAAGAAGGTCAAAGAAGATAACAGTCAAAGTTTTACTACCCAAATACAGGGCTCCTTGTAAACAAGATGGCCTGGCCTACGTCTGGGCCCAAGGAGCCTTGCAACTTCTGTCACTCCCATCACATCGGGGGAATCCAGAAGATCCAGCTGAGAAAGCTGGAATGGGAACAAAAGAGATGGAAGGGGCCTGTCAAAACTGGCCCTGCCTGATCTCCAACCCCAAGAGAAGGGAAGCCCAAAGTGACCTCAGAGCCTGAGGACCAGCCATGTGTGAGTGACCATGCGGGTCCAGTTGGTCTCTGTGAAGTCACTTGCCTCTTGTGGCCAGGGAAACATCGGACTTGCTCAGGCCAAGCTGATAGGTATGCCATTCCTCCCATGGGCTGGAAACAGCACAGGAGCAATAGTAAACGGATCCGTTCACCCCATCCCCAGGCCTAGAGGTGGGGGAGCTCTTTGCTCCCTGTTTATAGCTATAAGCAGGATGCTGTGAGCTGTGAATGTTCTCCCTCAGACAGAGCCCTGTTCAAGCCATATGTGAAGGTTCTGACATCTTTGATTTTTATCATCTTAAAATCAGTTCTCAAGAGCTCTACTCTCTAAAAAATACTGCATTTCAATGCAGTCTCCTAACACATGAGTGACTAATGCCATCTACAAGGTAAAGCTCTGAGCTCCAGTTTGTTATTCGCAGCTTGGCATGGCCCGAACCCGGGCTCCATCTTCAATCTGAGCCTCTATTACCAGTGCTTTCTCCTCCAGATAATGAGGTTCAGTGTCATCACTGCCACACAAGTGTGACTGTGGCCCACAATGCCATCCCCACTCCTAGCCCTTCCAGGCCCGGGTCAGCTGGACTTCCCCACTCTATCTGAGTTCTCGGAGCCCCAGGCTTGCTTCTCCCTCCCACCTCAGCCGCTGTGGTGATATTCCTGGTCTCCCCATCAGGCAGTGGACACATATTGAGCATTTGCTGGATGCTGGAGCTTGTACATTCAGTAAGAACGTTCTCTGTGGTGAGAAAGGGAAACATTTCCTCATTTGCATTGTATGGTGGGGCCAGGGATGGCACAAACATGCTGTTTCATGTACCTAGCCTCTGTGGCTCAGAAAATAACCTGCTGAGTCCACAGTGCCAGTGTGCGCCAAAGCCAGGACCCACTGCAGTCCACTGAACAGCCCTGGGGACCCGTGAAGCAAGCCATACTAAGATGCAGTGATTTGTTCTCCTTCTGGCTCAGGTGCCAAATGCTGCTTCTGACAGAGGCAAAGGCCAGTTCCAGGAAATAGGCCCCCAAACCCAAAGAGAAGCTGGCTTTCCTCGGGCTGTGATCTGGCTCTAATCTCTACAGAAAGGATTACCAAAGGGGCCTAATAGGATAATAGTTTACATTTATGTGTTTTGCATGTTTGATGCCATTGAGACCTAAAGTTCGCTTGGAGGGTGTTTTTCCAAACTAGAGA